AGGTCTTCTTTTAGGTGCCCTGCGATTGCCCGAGCTGTCCTATTGAGTAGCTCAAGGCAACCTCTGATCGAAAATTTCTAAAGTCTATGAAAAAGCTCTCCCACACCCGGACTGCTCCAAGTGCACGAGAGCAGGGAACAACTTTTCTTCTCAAGTGAGTGTGTATTTGCCTAATACACTCACCGAGGTCTTCCTTTATTTGTTCCCGGATTGCCCGAACTTTTCTATTAAGTAGCTCAAGGCAACCACACGACCAAAATCACAATCAAAAATTTTTCTTTGTTCGGGTACTTCTGATACACCCAATGTAGAATCCAAAGTTGATCACGAATTTCCGGGTCAAAATGGGTCCCTATGATCCTGATAAGCACGCCTAATATCCTAATATGATCCTAATTAAATGGATATTTTCCGTTTCCCAAATTGCCACAGAAAGTTTACTCAAGTCTCTAACAAGGAAGATCTTTAGAAGGTTTAAGACACTCCGGAGGGTCACCTCGGAGGGTACCTTGATCACCCGAGCTACTTCGGAGGGTACCCTAATCACCCAAGTTACTTCGGAGGGTCCCCCTAAATTTACTAAGGAGGGTCAATAAGATGCTTAATATGCTCCGGAGGGTTACTTCGGAGGGTACCTCCAAAATTTTCAAATTTTTTGATCTCGCTTAGAAGGTTCTCCCACTAGCTTCAAAAAGCGTCAAAACAAGCTAGGAGCTCTAAGGGGAGCTGTTTTAACTTCTTTGGGTGATCTCGTGGAAATTTTCCACTAAGGAGGGTTGCTAAGGGGCTTAGCTGACTCCGGAGGGTCACTTCGAAGGGTTCCTCCAAAATCAAGAAAAAGGGTTATATCACCGCAGTAAAGCCTCTGAAAGCGGTCTACCTGACTTAAAACTAGGTTGGCTGACACGGTCAACCTTCCCAGTTGAATAAAAAGATGTTTTGATAAAATTTTCTGCCGCTCGGAAGGTTACCTGTAATTTGGACCCTCCGAACCAACAAATTCTAAAAAATTTTTCTTTTCCGAGATTGTCAATCCCAAACACGGTTAAGATTCGGAAAAGTGATCAAAAACGTCGACTTATGGTACCAAAATTATCCCGATTGGATAACTAATCTTTGAGAAATCGCCAAAAACGCGTTCGTCAAAATGGCCTTTTTCACCACCTGTATAGGATCTGAAAGACTTTTTTCGCAATTCCGGTCGAAAGTGCCTAAAAATACTTGAAATGAGCGTAGTAGCGCTGTACGGCACTGGAATAATGCAAAAAACCGGACCAAAATTGGTTTAGAAACAAAAATTTGGCCAAAAACTATCAAATTTGGACCCTCCGATTCCTTCCTTTTCCAAACCTTAAGTCGTTAGCTCTATCCACGGAGCTACTCGGAGGGTTACCCAAAATTTTCTCTAGTAACCGAGCACGTTATGCTAGCACGCTCCTAACGCAAAAAATTTTATTGCTCTAACTCTAAAAACTCAAAAACTCGATCCCCAAAACAGATTGACAAAATACAGAAAATTATCAAAATTTTGATCAAAAAATTTCCGTTTTTCTAACTTCTACTGAGTCTTTGCTCACGCGGTTTCTTTAGTGAAGGGGATCGAACTACGTAGCTACTCTCTGTATAAAAGCTTTTTGCCTATCGGAAAAGCTCGGATATCCGGAAATTTGGGGGTCTGCAGTTTTGGTCGAAAATTGGTAATTTTCGACAAAAATAGCTGTTTCTTGGGTCTAAATAGGAGATAAGTAATATATAATAAGGATAATGATCTATTAATAGTCGTTAATGAATGGTACTATACCCTCCTTTGCACCAAAATACCCGAATTAAGACCCTTAACTCGGAAATTTGTAATCGATGGAGGGTACAATCGGACCGCGCCAATCGTGCCCCCCACCACTTAAGTTTTAATGAAATAGTACCCGAACGATACTAAAATTGCTTCAACGATACCCAACAGTCGTTGCAGATGTTGCCCTTGATGTCCCTGTTGAGCGTGGAACACGTCGGTCAGCTTGCCACTCTACCCTCCGGTCACCGGCAAAATCACCATTAACGTGCTTAAACACTCAAATTACACTCGAGGTTGTCAAAACACACAACCTTTCTATCAGAAACGATATAAATCAATCTGAAACAACAACAAATAGGAAGGTCAGATCACATCTCGTCCGGAAATAACATATAAACTGTCACTTTATGTTTTTTACTGTTTTTGGTCTTTCTTGGATTTTTTTACTGTTTTTTGTACTTTTTTGTTTTTAAATAAATTTGTTTTTGGCTTTTTCTTGGTTATACACTATTTTTGTTTGGTTTTACGCTTTCTCTTTAGTTGTTTTTGGTCCCGGGACCTCGGGACAAGCGGGTTCATGACTTCCCACCTAACCCCCCGGCCCGCGGAATTTTCGGTGTTAACTGAGTTAAAAAGCTAAATTGTACTAGACGGAGGGTACGCACCTTCCTCCTAGTACAACAACGGTCATTAAGTTCTCTAACTCGGGCATACGCCCGGAGCGGAGGGTTCGTCGCTGAAACGCTTGCTGATCATGATGGTTGCATGCCTTTAACAGGCCCACCCAGGAGCGCCATAAAAACGTCTATGTAACATTCGCCCAAATATCACACAGCGACGGAGCGTAGAAAAAGTACCTATTAACGACTGGTAGGCGTCAGTTACCTTAATCCTACTCGTTTTTCACCGTCTCGACCTTGTCAGTTGATTTTCTGGTCTGTTTAGGGCAAAGTAAAAAGTTACCATTTTTAGGCCATCAGTCAAACGACTTTTGATCAGCTTTCGTTTGCATGCGAACACAACCACATAGCTGAGTCTCGGATCCTCAGACTACGTGATTGTCATTAAAAACACGGCTCGAACAACCTATTTTATTATGTTTTTGTGTGACAGTTCTACATTAAATCCATTAGAAATGGATTGACCCTTTCCTTTTTCTAGCTACTCATGTTCTGAAATATCAAACAATAACGGTGTTAATTAAGATCTATGACATTCCAGCAGCTATAAAGTTAGTTTATACAGTCCCTTCACATAGACAGTCTTTGGGGGACCAAGCCTCCGCTCCCGTAATATTCCTGAGATAACGCTCTTATCTCTTATAATTCGTGTCCCGGGAGGGTTCCGTGGTATATTTCTTCCCCCACTGAAGCCTCCTTCTCCACCAATATCTGTTGACAAGTGTCTTATCGTGCGTTGTTGCCACGATAAGAGGCTTCGTATTTTCCGTCTCTGGTACGACTGTTTTTCACAATATCCGTCGTTGTTCTTCTTTTTCAGTCAAAATGGCCGACTTTTTCTATTTCTCAGAAATGTTCACTCTTCAATCGAAATTTTGAAAATAAAATTCTAGAACATTCTGACCCTCCTTCGCAACACTTTTTCGTTCATAAGGCCTTTAGCCGTCCTTTTTTATGTCGCCGGAAGGTTGTGCTGTGTCATCTGGCAGAATGGCACAACACTTCTTAGTTTGCTTCCTTGCTAGTTTGAATTAGATTTTGGGAGAGCAAGTATCCTTTAATCAGCAACTAGATTTTTTTTCGCGTAAGCAAATTTCCTTACAAGAAATTCATCTGACTTTACAATTGAGGCTTAGCAATTTCCAGGTTCCTTACCACTTGGCCTGGAAATATCGCGATTGCATTTTCATCCTTAGGTCTGGGGCTCGAGTCCAACTAGTACCCTGTATTTTCAGTATACATAAAATTGACAATGTTATACGGTTAAATTTGAAATGTCTGATTTTTGTTTGTCTGCTCAAATTTTGTCAGCTTAGATGGCACTTCACGGATCTTTCTTGTGCTGTAAACATTTATCATGGTAGTTGGAAGTGTTTTTCCTTCTACTTTCTACATAAAATCAATGTTTTTTTTTCGGCACAACTGGTGTCTGCTCAAAGATTGTCGGTTCTGTCTCCGCTTTGTAAGTTTTGTTCGGTTGCTAATTTAAAATCGAAATGTCTTGCTTTGCGTATTTCTCAAAAAGGAGAAAATAGGTATTCGGAGCAAAAACAGGTATTATGGAAATGTATGGGATTGATAGTTTTTGATACGCTTTGAAAGTTATGGCAATCGGAATAAAAAATATTTGGTTTTTTGATGTTCTTTTTTGAGTTTTTTTAACTTCTCTTGAAAATTATCTTGTCAGATTATTTTGGTTTCAATCCGAAGAACGGGTTTTGGAATACTCTCTGCATTAGCAGCTACGCTCATATTTACACAAAAAGTAACGGCTATCGGAAAAGTCAGATTTTTGATTTGTTGAAACTTTTGATTAGCTGATTACTTTTTTGAAACCCTCTCAAATCTCAGATTTTGGATTCAATCGAACTAAAAGTTTGCGGAAAGCTTCTGTGCATAATTTATGACGCTTATTTTTGATACGCAAAAAGTTATGGTCCTTGAAAAGCAAATTTTTTCTTACCGTTTTTTTTAAAACTAACTGACTTTTCTCAAAAACTAACCGCCCATATTCGAGTTTTTGGGCTCAATCGAAATTACAGTTTGTGTGAATCTCTTCTGTATAGGCGGCTACTTTTCAAGTTTCTTGAACAAAGAGCTAGGATTCTCAGAAAAGTCAGATATTTGAGCTGTTTTCAGTTATTTTGGATAATTATCCTGCTAAATCTGATATCTAGAGTTTAATCGAAACATCAGGTCATTAAAGCCTACTTGCATAAGTGGATATGCCCAATTTAAAAAAAAAGGTTTTGACCTTCAAAAAAGTCGTAGTTTTGAAACTTTGACCGTTTTTTTGGAAACTTTTTGGTTTCTTCGAAACTACCCTGTCAAAATTGAGATGAAGTGCTCAATGGAAAAGACCAACTGCGAGAGTTTTTCCTGCATAAGCTGTGACTCCTTATTTTTTTGTTAAAAAAAATATTGTCCTCGCCAAACAGTTATATTCAGTTTTAATTGGGTTACCCTAGTTTTCTTTCATCGATACATCACCTCTGTGTTAAAGTTTGCTCTTTTGTCATTTCAGACTAAATAATATGGCTCACCTCAGTGGAAGGCGCGTTAATTTACAATTACTACGACAACTTGGTAGAAAAGAGTTTTCCAGTTGCTTTGAAGAAATAAATGGAACAATATGTATCGGCTGGTGCGATGATGCATTGCGTGACGCTTTAAACTTGATTGTAGACATGCCATATCTGCAAGAAATCAACGTTATCAAAATGTTCGTTGCAGAGAAAGGCGCAATTGTTCCAAATATTGCACCAAATGTAGTGTTTATAACAAAACCAAATCTCGATTCTATCCAATTAATCTGTGAAGTAATTTTACGAACGAAAGAGAACGATCGTTCCAGCGATCATGTGAAATACCATTTGATGTTTGTACCAAGAAGATGTTTTTTGTGCGAAGAGAGGTTGAAGGAGATGGGAGTGTTTGAAACGGTCAAAGATCGAATCTATGAATGTGCCATCGATTTCTACCCATTAGGTAGTTTTTTTTTTCAATTTTGAGTTTGTACGAAGCTACATTATTAGTTGACAAGTCTCTGTCCAAAAGGATGTTGTGATGAAAAAGGCATTCAGGTGGTCTCAAAAACTCGGGTTTGTCTCCTGTCACTTGGTTTACAATTTCAATTTTTTTTATTGCCCATGATGGCAAACCTGCCTTAAATGTTTTACAAAATTCTTTTTTTGACCGGAACGTAGAAAATAAGCCTGGATTCAAACAAAAAATCAGCAGTTATGTTTTGTTGCTAGGAAGATCGATAAGATGATTATTCCGGACAATTTTGATGATTATTCAGAACAACCGTAAAATAGTGGTCAAAAAGAAAGTCTAAAAATTTTGTATTTGAAAATTTGGATATAAAAATCTCTGAGCAAAGTGTTGAATCCTACCCCTGGAAAAAATTAGAGCCTCTGTTTTTCAATTACAATGCCTTTTGTTTGACAAACTTTTCTTTATTTTAGATAATGACTTCTTTTCGATGGAGCTTCCCGAATGTTTTAGAGAATACTGCTTAGAAGATGATACTTCATCCCTTTTTGTCGCAGCGAGAGGATTGAATTGTCTTCAGAATATGTTTGGAACAATTCCGCGTGTTTACGGAAAGGGAAAGGCAGCTGAACTGGTATTCCAGTATATGGCTAGAATGAGGGGCGAAACCTCGACAGGAAATGCTGCGATATCAGAAGTGACTCCAGTTTTCGACAATCTCCTTCTAATTGACAGATCTGTAGATCTGCTCTCTCTTCTACCAACTCAACTAACTTATGAAGGTATTGAAGGATAGTTATTTCATTGTTTATAATACATTTACGCTTTTCAAGTTAATAACTCATCTAACAAAATCGCTGAATCATTTGATAAATTCAAGCTAAGCATCTTATTCTGGGCGTGTGGCGCAGAGGTAACGTCCATACCTGGAACGACGAAGGTTCGGATTCGACCAGTCTATTTTTATTCGCAATCTGAAAATCATGCAAAAAAATAGTTGACGACCTACAGTTTGTCTGCGCTAGTGTGGAATTTTCTTTTGGGACAATTTTTGTGATTTGTTTTGTCTATTAATTTTCTTTTTAGCCACAAAAGAGCAAGGAATGGGACCTCCTTTTTACACAAGCAAAGCTTGTGTGATAGTAAGAACTATCTTTTTTTTCCAACCTAAGTCGCAAATATTGTTGCGACAAAATATGTTCATTTTGAAAGTGTTCAATTTGATCTACAACCAGCTATAAAGTACAGCCAATGCTAAGGATATTAACACAGACTATTATATTACAAAAAGCACTTTAGCTTCAAGGTATCATGGATCTGTAGGTCAGAGGTAGACAAGGAGACCCGCAACAAAATAAGAGGGTTCGAACATGCGCAAGGTCAGGGAATTTTAACTTTTTCGTATGTTGTTCGGATGTTTTGAACTTCTTCGCATATTTTATAAAATTCGTCCGCTCTATAAATTGAGGCATGCTAGTTGGTAAATTTCTTTTTTTTTTTCAAATTGACTTGTACTGCTAATGCGTCATCATTGGCTTGGGTCACTTAGTTAATAAGTAGACTCATAATTGGCGTGCGTCACTTCAGAAAATTTGTAGGCTCAAAATTTTACTCACTAAGTTTTTCCCAGTAGCGTTATTGGTCATATTTTTGCTTGTGTATGCAAAGTACAACTTCGCCTCTGTGTTAGTTTTAACATTAACCGTAACCAAATCGATTTGGTCAAATTGGTCCCATAAAAAACAGACAGAAATAACCAATACAAAACATTCCGAATAATTATCCGAACAAATAGTTGAATACAAAACAGTCCGAAAGCATTTGAATTTTTTGGCCGGGATCTTATGGCACCAACAGAAATGTTTTACGCTTTGAAAAATCTGACATGAGCGTAATTAACAATCAAAGAACTGCAAATCGAACAATAAGACTGATCGTATGTCAGGGTAAAACCTTGAATGTTCCGACTGCGACTTAATCCATTTCGACTATTTTTGGGAAGCTTTTTTTAAAAAAGTTTGCAACGTTTTGAGAGTATAAAAATTACCAATAAGGCCATGCTCTGAACGATTTTACGCACGCTTTGTATATTTTATTCATAATCCTGGACTGTTCTAAACCCTGAATCGTTCCAAATTGAATTGAGTCTAGCTTATTGGTCATTTAAATTTTGTACGACTCAAATTTTCACACTCGATCTTTGATAATGTCCGAAATTTCGGACATTATCAAAGATCGAGTGTGAAAATTTGAGTCGTACTAAATTTAAATGACCAATAAGCTAGACTCAATTCAATTTGGAACGATTCAGGGTTTAGAACAGTCCAGGATTATGAATAAAATATACAAAGCGTGCGTAAAATCGTTCAGAGCATGGCCTTATTGGTAATTTTATACTCTCAAAACGTTGCAAACTTTTTTAAAAATTTTTTCGGAGATGAAATTTTTTTTGAACTTAATTTTGGAAAGTCGAGCTCTTCAATGGGGCTCATGTTTTTGTTGAAACATTTCGATCGGTCGAAAATTGACAAAAAACACCCCAAGCCTAAGTATTCCGTTTTCTTTGAAAGTCGGAACAACAAAGGAAATGCCTCGTGGCATAGTTGTTACATTGGACTGAAATTCAGAAGATTAAAAAGTTGAATCCCCTTCGGCATCATCATGGAATCTCCGAAAGTTAAAAATAAAACAAATAAGTGTACATGTTGACATTATACTTGCATCCTCTTAAAAATCCAATGATATCGTTAGGTCATCAAGACCTCATCATTTTGTATAAGTTATTGTCGAGTTATTCGTTTTTAGTTTCCTGGATCGGGCTACTTTTTTTCTGCGCTAATTGTTTTTATAAATTTCGGCCATCTTTGTTAGTCATTTTGTACTTGTTGATTGCAATTTTATTGCTCTGTCAAACCTGTGTGTCTGACGTCCTTGAGAAGTAAGTCTAGCAATGTTGAGTACCAATTAGTTTTCTTCAGATGCTATACATAGGAGAAGCTGAAACACAGCGGTGACTTCTTGTACGGGTTGAAATGACTTTCAGGTTGATGTCGAAATAAACGCACTTAAGAGCATGTTGTAACTGCTAGTGTCGCCTGACAACTGAATTTGTCTCTAGACGCTTTGACTCATTAAAACCAAGCATTCTGATAGGTAGCTGTTTTTAAGTTTCGCATAGCCGCTTTAAAATCAACAGAAATGCACTTCGGGGAATCAGTTTTTAGGTCAAAACGGCGAAAATAAGTTGATTCTTTTTCTGCCCAGAAATAGCGTAAACAGAAGGTATAAGGCATCCGTTAACTTAAATTTTTGTAGTATAAATTTGGTTGAATACATCGGGAGTTGCCAAAAACATGCCATCCCAAAAACAAGCATCTGATAATGTAGGTAGCTCTAGCCCTGGTGACGTTGCGAGCTCGAAGGCGTTTTACATCTTGAAGACAATCGTTTGCTTGCTGTATGGCCAGATATAAGTTAAAAACAGTTAGCGAAGTATGTGCCGCAATGATTTCTGTTCACAGCTTACTGAACAGCCGTTTAATTTGGTAGATGACCAGCTGTTTCTTGGTTCACATCATGCTGGGCTGCAAAAATAGTCTGTCGTGGTGATAGATCTGAAAAGTTTGCTCGGCCTTTTTTGCGCTTCGTTTTTCATATCAGCCTGATTGTGGAAGTGGTAGTGATGTTTTACCACTTAAACGGTGTCCTCTTTGGTCCGCGTACTTCTCTTGCAATTGCTTTGCGCGCAGCGTCACGAAAGGGAGCTATTCGACAGATTTTGATGTTTAGTATCAGCAAATCTTTCAAGAATTAGTTGCTTAAATTTTTAGTGGTAAGACTATATTAATCCATGGTAAGTGAATTGTGTTCTATTTCAGTGTTGGGAAGTGTTCGCAATTGACACAACTTGAGCGACCTGACCATTTTTGACTGGATTAAGTAAATGGTTTTTTAAATTGTCAATTTAGTTGTTCGCGTTTTTTGCTTTTTTGAGTGGACGGTGCTGTTATCTAGATAGTTCTAAATTCTCTGCTATAGTTAGGTATCATCATTCGGATCAATTTGAATCAAACTATTATTAATGCGAGATAGTTTTTCTTATCAACTTTCGGAACAATGATCACTTCGATCAATGGGTCTGTTTTTCGGTTTGACCTATATGGAACTGTTTTTTGCACTTTGATGTTTTTTTTGTACTGGACTGTTTTGTACATACGCGGGATATTTTATGTAATTGAAATGTTCTTCGCAGGTTTACTGGATGAAACTGTTAGAATCAGAAGCACGGCTGCCAAATTCCCTGCAACTATTTTTAAAAGCGAAGACAGACAAACGCAGCAGCCGTTATCTGAAACAATAGAGATGAAGAAAATTTTTCTCTCTTCTGCTGATCCCATGTATATCGAAGTGAGTAGACATCAAGGTACTTGAAAGGTACTTAAAAATGGACTGTAGTTCAATAGCATACTTGGGTATGCGGAAGATATAAGGACAATTAACAAGGTACCTACGGAATTTGAGGATATTGAAAATGATATTGAACAGTTTAGACGTAGGAACTTGATAGCGATATGGATCGAATAGGGTCTGTAGAATATGAAATATTGAGGAATTCATTGAAAATTTGAATTATGTAGACTCGCGACAAGGATTATCGACTTGTTGGGCCTCACTTGGTGAAGAAGTTGGACACAATCAAAGAGACATATCAGAAGCACAAGCAGAAAGATACCTCCATGGCCGAACTGAAGCTATTCACGAGCAACTTGCCCCACCTAATTGTAGGTTCAACTTATTTATCAAAGTTATGATGAAATGAAGATAATATGTTAGTAGCCCTGTAAGACGTCAACCCTTAAGGACACAGTCAACTCTAAATCGCCTGAGGTACCGAACTTGAAGTCAATTATTCTGTCAACGGTGAACCTCAATTAGCTAGCAATTAGAGGGAACTGAACCTCCCAAAGCAACGTAGCAATCAGCGTTACGCCGGCAGATACAAGTTCTCTTACGTTGATAAATATTAATTTGGCGTCAGTATTCTTTCACTGATTTTTTGTCTAGGCTGAGAAGGAGAATGTGAGTAAGCATACAGCCATTGCAACTCTGCTGAAAGATAAGTCACAAACTATGGACTTCAAGGAGCAGATCAGACAGGAACAGAACCTTCTCTTCATGGACAGTAGCATCATCGGATCTTCTGGACCAGTAGATTTGGACAAGAGCAACCCTTTTGTGGAAACCTCGATTGCTAAACAGGAACCAATCACTAAGGTATATCATATCAATTTTCCGTGCCATCTTTTTTTGATCAATCTTACTCGCCAATCAGATCACTAATTGACAATCTATTGGCTATTGCTAATTGATCGGCATAACTTTATTTACGCAATAGATCCGTTATCAAATACGGTGGATATATGCATTGTAAATATACGATTCAAGGTAATTTGAAATGTGTCATATATTGCGGTAATGTAGGATCGCATCGATGTGTTTAGGAAAACGGATTTCTGTTATAGGTTCTGCGATTAATATGTTTGCAAAGCGTACTCAACAATGGACTGAAGCAGAAAGTACTGGACTTTTACAAGCGTGAAATTATTCAAACATACGGATATCAATATCTAACCACACTTCTCAATCTGGAGAAAGCGGGCTTAATAGGCAGCCCAACTGCTCGCACGATGCCCTCTATTAAGAAAACCCTGAAGTTGATAGACATGGAGTTTGACTTCAGGAGTCCGAATGACATCATCTTCAGTGTGTTTGATGGATACGCGCCTTTATCAGTTCGACTGGGCCAGTTTATCCGCACTCCCGGATGGAGGAGCATCGAAGAGATTCTGAAGGTGTGGTTCTTCCCCTAACCGAGCAAAATTATTCTATAGTGGTTTTTTATGTAACAAACTCCTCGGACATGTAACATCATGAATCTGGATGAACTTCCTAGCCTGAAAATTTTCTATTCAACGAGAAAAAAGATGGGCACAGGAATAGTCAAATAACTCGATAATTAATTGTGGCTTGTGAATTGAATGTAAAATAAAAAGAACTGCTCCGTCTGTCTGGGTGAAAAGGAAAGTTTTACCATAGGTGCTGCCGGGTCCGAAGATCGACGAGAGACAGGAAGTGCCAACTGCTCTTCGCAAGAAGCTTGAGGATCCAACTGTTGCCTCCACTTTCATGAATGCAGACAACCCCCAGTTGACTCTGGTGTTCTTCATTGGGGGAGTCACATTTGCAGAAGTATCCGCGTTCAGGTGAACCGATGAATTATTTACGGCACTATCGGAGCTTTTTGTAATGACACTTCCCAGCGAACCACTTTTTTTACAGAAGTCCAAAATATGATTGTACTGCCATTGACCAGTATCTATTTCACGATTTAAGCAGCATAAGCTAGATAAGCGGAATGAAAGGAGATTTTGTCTATTCTTCATGTATGAACATGAGCTTCGTCAAGTAGCCTAGTAAGTTGCTTAAGACTAGTAGTGACTCGCTTTAAGAAGGTCGGGTTGGATTGCGGTGGGCAAGGTGTTTTTTCAATCACACCATCTTGAAATGAACTGTGATCAGAAAATTGTCAAAAACCGTTTAAGGCAATGCAGTTTGTTCTCTGAAAATGATGTCGCGGAAAAAATTGGTCAACGGGTTCGTTAAAGCTTTTCCAACCCTACATTTAAATGTCAAGTAGCGTCAGTAGAAGATGTAGCCCCTTTGTACTTTTTTTTGAAAAATCCATTTTTGATGATGGAACCTAAAATTTTTCTAAAGGCACCTTTGGCGCCAATATATACTAATTTTTGAAGGGGGGATAGCGCGCGCCGAAAAATGCAATTTTTTGGTCAGAATGATCCAAAAAGTGCCTTAAAACGCCTTTTTTGGCCTTTTTCAAAATTTTACCTGCGGCGTTAAAATTGGGTCTTTATAGTGATTTAGGAGAGCTCCGAAAATCAATTTAGTCGACCTAAACAAAAAAGGCGTCAAAATTTTTTTGAAAATTAAAACCCCCCTCCCTTCCCTCAAGGAAAATCCTAGATCCGCGCCTGAGTAGCGTAGTGAATTTTTTTTTCAGGATTTAATTTTTGTTGCGGTTTGACTTTTGACCTACTTTCGATTAAGTTAATTAATTTCTATTGTGAAAAGGAAAGCAAACTTAACTATCGAAAAGCAAAAATATAAAGGTCACGAAAAAATGAACGATTTCTAATTTTGAAATTGGATTCTAATCTCCCAGCAGAATAAAAAAAATCAGTCGATCCAAATTTTTCAAACTGGGTTAGTTTTATTAATCATCATTGTCTCTTGAAATTTGAAGAAGCTTCAGGGCGTATGTTTTTTATAGTTCGAAAATTCAAGTTTTTCAAAAAAAAACAAGTCAGAATTTTTTAAGAGTCGATGAACGTAGTTCAGACTCCTATAGAAGTCGCGATTATTTTTTTAATTTTGTTTTTAGGATTAGTCTTCAATTTGCTTTGGCTCAAGTTTTTTCGCGGTTTGACTTGATTAAGAGTAATGAACGTAGTGAGTACTCTTATATATATGCCTTGGTGATTTTTTTTCAGGAAAAAGTTTATTCGTGCTCAATAAGAGTGATTACTCTAATATAGATCTTGCTGACTTTTTTGTTTGTTTTTTTTCAGGAAAAAGTCATAAAATTTGTTCACGCTCAATTTTGATTTTCGCGGTTTGACTTGTGATTTCTTTTTAAGTTCAGTGCATTTTCATTGTTAAAAGGAAAGCAGACTTCACTATCGGACAGCAAAAGTGTAAGGGTCACCTAAAACGTGATCGACTCCTGATTTCGAAAATGGAAATTAATTATCAGATTTCCCAGCGAAATAAAAGTTTAACCTATTGATCAATTTTTCTCAAATTGGGTTAATTTTATCCAAAAAAATGTCCATCATAAATTGATCTACAAATTCAAAGAGCTTCAAGGCCATCTATTTGTTCTTCGAAATTCAAAAGTTGAACGCTCTTGAAAGAACAAGTCAGTTTTTTTTCAGTTTCCTTGCGTTCATTATTTTTCCAACTATCAGTTGTCTATCAGTTGTTAAAAAAATTTTAATTGGGTAAGTTTTGCTCTGGAGCTATGTACATTAAGTTTAATTCGAAATGGACCCTAAAAATGTTGGTTGTCGTTGTGATTTTCTAGTCTATTCTTATAGCATGTCCAGATGATTACACTTGCGGAAGTTAGTACGAACTTTTTTTTGGCCTAAATCGCAAGTAAAAGTGTTCATTAAAAGTGTTCACTTATTTGGTGGCACTTTTGCTATAATCACGATCTGTAGCATTGGAAATTTCATAGAGTTTGTTCTCTGCTTTTTTGTAGCTAGTGTCTGTGACTTATTACACAAGCATAGCCTGTGTTATAGTATGAAATCTCTTTTTTTCCAACCTCAGACGCAAATATTGTTGCGATAAAATGTGTTCATTTTGAAAGTGTTCATTTTGATCAATAACCAGCGATTAAGTACAGCCAATGCTAAGGATATTAACACCGACTATTAAGAGTAAAGACTCTCATATAGAAGACTCTCATATAGGTCTTGCTGAAGACTCATAGTGAAGACTCTCATATAGGTCTTGCTGATTTTTTTAGTTTTTTTTTCAGGAATATTAAAATAATATATTGATGCACCAATATCTAAAATATTGACGCACTTAGGCATATATGCAACTTTTGAGTTCAATTGAAATTCATCTGTTGAAAGTGGAGAAAATAGCATTCTCCAAATACGAACGTGGAAATGGCGCAAATATACGTGAGCGATTTCTAGTTTCAAAAATGGAATTTACTTTTTAGATTTCCAGCGGAATAAAAACTATCTGTTGATCCAGTTTTCTCAAGTTGGTTTAATATTATCAAAAAGAGCCAATCTTAAATCGTTCTAGAATTTCAAAGAGCTTAAAGGGCATCTATTTTTTTAAAATTCGAAAATTGAGATTTTTTTTTAAACAAAGTCAGTTTTTTTAATGTTTACTTGCGTTCATTACTCTATGAATATGTAGCGTAGAGGTAGGGAAGGAGACCAGCAACGAAATAAAAGGGTTCGAACCTGGGCAGGGTCGAAAGTTTTTAATTAACTCTTTGGTAACACTTAAGAAATTATGTAGACTCAAAGTTTTTTTCATTCAGTTTTTCGCAGTAGCGTCATCGGTCATATATTTGCTTTTGTATGCAAAGTGCAAATTCGCTTCTGTGTTAAGCTTCCGTTGCTAATTGGTTAGTGCGTGAGACTCATATTCTCTAGGTCACTGATCGAATCCGAGAGGTAGCCGAGTTTTTACTGGTTCGAGACTTATTTCTACATTTTCTTATTACACTTTATAGAGCTGCTTTTTGCCGTGTTCTCGCTAGAGTTTTTAAAGCGCCGCTTCACCTCTGTGTTTTTAGCAGTTGTTTTTTGGGGGATGTTTTTTTTCAGGATTTGGTTTTAGTGTAATCGAAATTTTGCGAGTATTGTTTTCATTTGATTTTCTAATCAAAGTAAAATCAACAAACAAAGTAAAAGCAACAAATCAAAGTAAAAGCAACAAACCACCTGACAATTTTAATTTTTGCTTAGTAAACATATTTGCTGAAAGTGTAAGCAATCTGAATCTTCAAGCTCGTTTAAATAATTTTTTTACTTTAAATTGAAACATATTGACACAAGCTGACTTTGTGCAATAAGATAAGTCCGCTTTTATCCAACCTCACTCGCAACTTTCCTTGTTCAGTTTGTGTGTTCAATATCCGCAGCGATGTCCATTTTAAACCAAAATTTAAATTAATTAAAATTTTCCGTAAACAATTGTCCACATGATAACTTCTAGAGGATCTCCGCCTCTAGAGAATCTTCACTGCTTAAGTAGGATCTTCACTTCTGCCACTTCAGTAGTAATTAGTTTCTTAGCCCGTTTCAGATTGTAGTTATCTTTCCAAAAACTTTCTCAATTTATTTCGGGTGCGTGGTTTTCGTCCTAGTTTCTGTCGGTTCATTTTCCGTTTTTTTAAGCGCCATTCTCTAAAATCTGGCAAGATTTTTTATTGATTTACTTTTTAAAGCATGGGTTAAAGCAAGTCTGACTTTGAGTTTTTTCATTTCCGTTATTTTTTAAATATTCAAACGGTTTTAGTTTATGTTATAATCTGAACAACTTAATCAACTTATTTTGCGTAATTTTGAGGTCAAAAAAATATTTTTTTAGGATTGTGTTTTAGTTTGGATGGGTCTTAAACACTTTTAAATTTTATGAAACTTTTCATGACAACAGTTTTGTTTTCGTCTCAACAGGTTTCTACCCTAAGTGTGTCGCCTTTGTTGTTGCTCGGTAAATGATTTACATTTTTAAGGGCTGTTTATGAACCTCATCAGATACAAATATGAAGTTATGGTAGCTGTATTTTTTGAATTTTTGTCATGTTATTTTCTCAAATTATTTCGAACAGATTTTTTCAGAAATTTTTTTTGACTGTCTTTTTTTTTCATTCGCTTTTTCTAGCGCAATTTATTTTGCATCGCATGTGTAGCTATGCAATGCTTCGCCTCTGTGTTTAAATGTGAAACTATGTGCCCAATCAATTTGAATTTAAATCGAGCGATTCAAGTTGAAAAAGTTGCTCGGGCGGGATTCGATCAAACGCCAAAATAAATAGTCTACTTATGTCAATTATTTTCAATTTTCGCAGTTCCGCGGAAAAAGCAAACTAAGTTTTCACGATCAAAGTTATAGTTTTTTGTTGCAGGTAGATATACCCGATAAAAATGCTTCCGGTTTCTTTTTTAAAATTGCAAAAAGTACCCAACATTTTCCCCGAGAAACAGTTTTAAGACAAATTGTCTAAGAAAAATTTAAATTGATGCAATAATTTTTCATAATTTTTTTGAACAATTTGATTTTAAATTAAATTTTTTTTAAATGGACATCACTGAATGTCCGTATCTTCTGTATACAGCTCAAATTCTCTGGCGATTCAGTAGCTTGTGTTTTCTGCACTTATTAAAGCACATTCAAAACTACTGGTATTTATTAGTAATGAATGCGAAAGAGCAATAGTTATAAGTGCCCTTCGACGTGCGCGGTAGACTGAGACAGGATTCCGGTAGGTATTTTTCATCTTTCAAAGGCGTCTTTTCTTTAGGGATTATTTCATTATTTTCTTTCTTTTTTCTTTAGTTTTCCAAGGACGGCTTTTGAGTAATCCGATTTTGTTGTTGTATTTCGATATTGCTAGCTCTATTTTGTTGTTGAAATGTTTATATTTTCAGGTGTCTGTCGGCCAATGATGAGAATGGAGCTGAGTTTGTGGTAGGCACAACAGCTGTAGTGAATGGCAACTCCTTCATCGAAGCCCTAATGGACGACTATTCACACGCATTCGACACCACCGAACTCACTAGCTACAGCCAGAAGAGTCAGAGGAAACGGTGATATTATGTTCACTAGTGGTTATAACTTTTATAAGTGTCTATAGAATACCCATGGAAGCAACATTATTTCACAAATTCTGTGGTATTGCAATGTGATTAACTTATGTATTTATCTGTCACCATTTAAGTTTTGTCCAACATGATGTTGGGACGTTAATCATATGTTTCTGTCAAAAATTGTAGTCTAGATTGAATTATATATTTGTTACGCTTTAATGTCGATATTTAGAAAAAAAATTCTTTTTGAAAAATGTTGCTATGAAATCGTTCATTTTGAAAGCAAAGCTTAATTCCAGTTTTGTCTCAAGGGTCTTTTTTTGAAAATTAAGTACTTGAATTTCTGTCAGTGATATTTTGTTAATGAAGGAAATGACGTTTGACATATTAATGTGGCATTTTTTTTAGAGAAATGTTCACGCTCAATTTTTTTCCACGGTTTGATATATGATTTTTGTTAATTTCACTTCAAATTCGTTAACCAAATCTGTATAAAGAAACACACCTTGCTCCATTATGGCACCTCAATATTTTAGGCCCCTTCCAACCTGTTCCAGAGGTAAAGCGCGCGCATTCGTATCCTAGGGCGTTGTGTCCGAGTACCGGCTGGACGTTTTTTTCTCGAGATGTATGGAAAACGTTATTCTCTGGGTAAACTGTTTGTCTGTTTTATTTGTGTCGGCATATAATTCCAAGCATGGACTTATCTTCTGACGTAAACAATGCTCTATTGTAATTGAAAGGCGTTCTGTATTTATAAATTTTAAGTGCTCTGATTTTGTATCATTTCCTTTTTAAGTAATGAACGTAGTGAGTACTCTTATATAGGTCTTCGTTATTTTTTTATTTTTTTTCAGGGAAAAGTCTTGTAATTTGCTCGCGCTCAATTTTGGTTTGACTTTCAATTTTTTAAAATTCAGTTAATTTCCTTTGTTTAAGGAAATCTCCACTGTCGAACAAGAAACATCTAAAGTTCACAAAAAACGTGTTCGACTCCTGATTTCGAAAATGGAATTTAATTTTCAGATTTCGCAGCGAAATAGAAGTATTACCTATCAATCCAGTTTTCTCAAATTGCGTTAATTTTAACAAATAAGTGTCCAACATAAATTGTTCTACAAATTCAAAGAGCTTTAAGGCCGTCTATTTTTTTCTTCGAAATTCAAAAAATGAAGGTTTTTGAAGAAAAAAAACAAGTCAGTTTTTTTTCAGTTTCCTTGCGTTCATTTCTCTTTTCCAACTGTCGGTTGGCATGGTTTTTTAATCAGATCTTTTTATCACATCACGCAAAAAAACGGCACTAGTTTGAAAAAAATTTCTTGTTTCCTTTTAGGAAAATGGTCAGAACATTCGGTGCTCCTTGCACAGTAACCGGCCATCCTTATTTTAATTTTTGCTTTTTCTCCATCTTAAATGGTTTCGATTTCTGTTGTAATCGGCTTACTAACATTATATTGCGTCGTTCCAAGCTCAAAAATTTTATGACACTTTTGTTTATGACACAACGGACATCTACCCAAGTAGTGTCAGCCGATCTGCTGCTCGTTCAAAAATTTTTGAAAGCTGGTAATTGTTACTCGGCCAGATTTTCCCTTATTGGTTTTTCGACATTTTTCAACTTGAAGTAATTTTCTACTCATTTTGCGTTTGATTTTCTATTTGCTCGCTTGCGATCTATGTTAGTGTTGTTAAGTGTTTCAAAGCTTCTGTCTAATTTCCAAGATCATTATTTTCTCAAGTCGGTTCACATTGTTCAGACTAACTTTTGAGTAGAAGCAAGAACCTTGATTAGTGAGTGAAATCGAATTTTTACAGAATTTATGTACAAATGATTTGATCGTGCCGGGACTGCACTAGGATGTCAGGTGGAGCAGAACTTCTTCAGCAAGAGACTTTGCCCAAAATCCAGGAGACACCTTGTGTGGATGAGAACGGAGTGGCGAGTGAACAGAACGTGACCTTCACAATCAACGAAGAGGACCACACTCTGGGCAATGTGCTGAGATTTGTACTGGCAAAATATCCCGAGACTGATTTCGTAGGGTGAGCGAAGTTGAGATCCACCGCGTACATATAGAATTTAGCAAGTATATTCAGCTTCGTTTTTAAGTTTTTGTTGGAGTTGCTCAAATGTTTTTTGACAAATATTTATAAAATTTAAACCAGAGGGCCTCAATGTCAAGGCACACATTTATCGAGTGTCTGCATTTGAGTTAATTTCTCTAATATTGATTTTGTAAAAAGAAGTTCATGGGCATTTCAAATGTTGGAATCAGCTATTTTGCAACACTTATCATGAATTTGGTCAGTTTTTTGATCTACGCTCCCACAGAAAAGTTGCTGTGAAATAAATAAATTTACCGGGACAGTCTCTTTTAAACTCAATAAGTTTTTGTTCAGACTTTCCAAATCAGGTGATTCAAATCTTTGCAAAGAAATTATTCAAAAAAGCTCAGCCTACGTTATGTTAACAGTAAAGTCGAAAGTTATTAGTGGAGTATTTAAACTGTGTCTTTTATATGAGATACTTATTGAGAGTTATGAACGTAGTGAAGACTGTTATAGAAATCTTGGTGATTTTTTTTTCAAATTTTTTTCAGGAAAGTCTTGAAATGATCTAATTACTACAGATGTGCATTCATACATATTAACGCATTTATGAATGCACTTGTTGAGGAATATATACCATTTGTGAGTTCAATTGAAATTTATCTGCAAAAAGTTACGTAGTTAATACTTTTTAAATACGAACGGAAATGGTGCGAAAAACGAACGACTTAGTTTCGAAAGTGGAACTTAATGTTAAAGATTTCTCAGCGGAAAAAACTTTACCTATTGATCTTGTGCATCAACCGTACAATCCCTCCTTAAATGACTGACCTACCGTAGAAAAATTCTGTATAAAGTATGTATTTCATACAAACGCGCAAATAAAATTGTTTAATACATTTTTTGCGGGGATTGCATTTGTATGCTGTTAATTACCTAGATTAATTTTTTAATTCAAGTTTCTTGTTTAATACGGATAGTTACGAATCTAGGTTATACTCAAAGTTAGCTTAAAAAAATTGATTTTTTTCAAAGTCATTTTTTGTCTGTTTTCTTGCGTTCATTACTCTTTTGCAACTGTAACTTGGCTATGTTTTAGCTTGTGGTTTATTCGGAAAGAGCTATAAAAGTTGCTGGCAATCCTTTTTAATATTTTTCAGTTTGCCTTTTGATGGCTTGTTAAGTTGGCGCTATATAATTTAGCTAATTTTAATGCAATTTACGCTCTGTTATACGGGAAATGATACGAATAAGTGAATAAAATATGGGCTTTGAAAATTTGAGTCTAATTATTGGATATCCCCGTGGAATAAAAAAAAATTGATCCAGTTCTTAGTTTGAATTAGTTTTGTTTCAACAGTCAATCATAAATATTCTTGAAGATCAGAGAGCTTTAATTTCCTTGCTGTCTGTAGACTTGTTTCAGATAACTGTCCGCTCTTGTGTTTCAGATACACCGTACCTCACCCCACGCAGTACAGAATAATCCTGAGGATACAAGCTAAAAAGGGGCACAAGGCACATGATCTACTTGTGAGAGCACTGAAGGATTCCAGACTCATCTTCCAGACTATGAAGGGCACTTTTTCAGATGCTTACAAACGCCATTCTGAACTGAACAATAAATGAGCAAAAGAAATGAAACTAATCATTTGTTGTTAAGTTATAAATTGTTTTGGAAATTTGATTGATCAATTAATATCTAGGCCCTAAACAGCCAGACTGATTTTGTCAAAAAAATATATCAGATTTGAGAACAATTTCGCTGATTTAGCTGAAAAAATTGCAGGAAAACATTACAGGAAAACGTTGAACTGCGTATAGTGAATACATGCAGGTGATAAAAGTAGCCGGGTCTTCTCGGGTGTAGCCTAGAAATGATTGTAGTTTTACGTAGAAAAGAAATGAACGCAACTTTTGGTAGCATTGTTATGGTAACAATTTATTTAGGGGAGAGTTATACATATACAATAAGTTTATGAGACTGCTTAACCAGAAGAACTCACCAAGGATCATGCAAAGCGCTGTACAGCTTATCGAGGCATACACCTGATAAACTTAAGACAGGTTGCGAGATAATATCGGACTTGAACATTGCGAATAAAAAGTCTATTACATCGGTGGTATCTTTAAGATTTTGTAGTTGATGCTCAGTTAACTGTTTACGCTTGCGATAAGCAAGCGTTATCAAACTGGAATATAGACTTTTTTTGGGTTAACTAGTTGAACAAAATCAGCTGAATCACTTGCTGAGGAGGATACTTCTTTTCTATGAAGCTGACTTCTTTTCAATTATAAACTCTTCTGTTAGTGTTTCAGGTTGCTTCCCCTTGACCTGGAGGTAAATCAGTTGCCGTTGTACCCTAAGGTCCGGGGTTCCAGTCGTGGCCGGACCTTATTTTTTTCAGTATCAAGGAAATTGAAAAAAAAATCCGAGAAAAATGAGCTGGTTTTCCCTTAGTTCGCTCAAGTTTTGGCTAAATTGACACATCGGGTTTTGCTTGTGCTCTAGGCAATTTTCATTTTAGCTGCAAGTGAAAGTGTTGTTTATTTTATTTTAAGGGGGGACTTGAAATATATTAGAAATATTTTAATAAAATCTTTTTTTTTTCGGTTCAATCGGTGTCTGTTCCGATTGAAAGTTGTCACATAACTGATTTTTGCTTACTGTAAGCAACTTTTATTGCATTTGCAAATGCTGTTCTTTCAAGGGGGACTTGACAGATTTTTTTTTCTAATCAAAATAGCGTTTTTTTTCGGCTCAGGTGGTTTCAGCTCAAAGATAGTTGACTTAGTTGCCAAATCACTGATTTTTCTTGTGCTGTAAACAACTTTCATTATAGTTGCAAGTTTAAGTGTTGTCGATTTTTGTTTAAGGTGGGACTTCAAACTTTTTTTATAGAATCATTTTTTTTTCGGCTCAACTAGTGTCTGCTCAAAGATTGTCGGCGTTTCTTTTCGTAAATTTTGTTCCATTGTTGCTGTTTTGAAATTCAAGTGTCTGGCATGTTAACCTCTAATGAACTTCTATCGAGACATGAAAGTTTATATGACGTATTTTTCATCAGATTTCGTTTATCGGCTTTTAACGTTTATTTTATGTTTGTTGTATCGCAAGTGGTGCGAAGCTTAGCTTCGTCTGTTCAAACTATCTGGTATCATATCGTTTAATTGCAAACAAATAAAGAATTTAAGAGAAATAATTTTCATTGTTGTCCGAATTAGTTCTTAAATCATTAATTTTGCCTGGAAAGGGACAAAAAAGCTCATAAAATACCATTCGTGGTCTCTTCCCAACGGCCAAAGCGGAAATTTTTTCTTACATTTTTATGGTGTACCAAATGATGCAGCAGGGTTTAAACTCATCGCTCTTGCAATTTTAGAGTTTAAACGGCTCGTAGATGTCTCTGTGACGACTTGTTAAACTCAAGAATTTTTCATGTCCAACGAACTTTATGCTTGAGGTTAGCAAGGTTTATCGAGTCAGGTTAACAACTTGTTGAACAATCACTTGCGTCATGCTGTTTTTCAGGTTAGCAACTTGCTTAATACAATTACGAGCATCATGCTGTTTCAATTCTATACTGTCGTTGTAGAAAATCGTGCTGGTGATTTTTAAGGCCTATTGTTGTTTTATTTTTTTCAATAAAATTTAAAGAGTAATGAACGCAGTGAAGACTTTTTCATAGGTCTTGCTGATTTTTTGATGTTTTTATCACGAGAAAGTCAGGAAATGCTCTCATAACTACAGATGTGCATTCTTGCATATTAATACATTTATGAATGCACTTAGGTATATATGCATTTTTTGAGCTCAATTGAAATTCATTTGCTGAAAGTTACGGAAATAGCACCTCGCTTGAAACGACAAAGGCTTAGTGTTCGATCCAAGTGGGGACCTGTGTTTTTCCGCAGAACTGAAAATTTAGAGGCTATATTAGACTACTGTCTGTCTGTTTATTTTTGTTGGCTAAGTTTCCACAGAACCGATATTTTAAGAATTTTAAATTTTTTAAACAATTTTTTGAACGCTTTTTGTGAAATTTCCAAGGTTGCAGATAAATTTTCAATTTTTTTATTTGTAGATTCAGTTTTTACGTAATGACGTTTACTCCATTTCTTATCGCGAGCGATGCGAAGCTATGCTTTGCCTCTGTGTGCCAATATGCGCGTAACAAAGATTTCAGGTTTCAAACCTGAAAGCTTGAAAAAAAATTGCATCATCTTCAACAAAATTTCCAATTTTTCATGTTGGTTTAAATGGCTGTCAACTCTAATACCTAATCAAAAGTTCAATTTTTCTTTGTTTGTTAATTTTAGCCATTGGGACTAAAATCTTGAAAAAAGGAACTTCAAGCGACAATGAATAATTTGCATAAAATTCAGAATATTTTGCATTAATTTGAAAAGCAACTGGTCAGAAATTTAAGTTTTTTTATGTCAATTTTTGTCGATTTGATTTCAAATAGCACCTGCGTTTCATTAATACCACTTCGGCGTTGTTTCGTGGCTTCAGCATGCTCTTTCAGTTGATTACTTTCTGTCTTGTATTTAAAAGCTTCCTTTTGTCACTTTCTTTGTGCTTGCCTATTGCAGCTTTGCCTTTGTAGTCAATCTACAATCAAACCCTGGTTAAAAATGAAACACCGTCAAACAGACCCTAGTGTTTTTTAGAAAATTTTTTGGTAAAGGTAGAGATCAACCTTGGTATCAGTTTGAGTGCTCTGGAAAGTTTCACAAGAATGAACTTTTATGGTTTTTAACAAATTTGTAGGGAAAAAAATCATTTGGTCAAAATAGGTGCACTGGCAATGGAATAGTTTTGCAAACAAACATTTTTAAACTCTTATTATCTTTTTCGCATTCTTTCCCTATAATTGTTTTTATGCAAAGAAAAATGTTCAAGCAAGCAATATGCACGCAACAGTTATGAAATAAAATACAAAAGTAATTTGGTCTTACCAACAAGCAGCTTTTTTTCCATTAGCCTTTTCTTTCAAAAAGAATTCAACAAGAGATACTTCATAATCTTTTCAATTTGAGTTTGCTAGAAGTAAGTTTATAATCTGACACCCGCGTGTATTATAAGCTAGAAATGTGTGTCAGGTGATGAATTTTTTTCGCAACCTCAGTCGCAAATAGAAGTGCTCTTATTTTTGATGGCACCTTTGCAGCATTAACATTCTTTTTGTTTTTGCCGCATAGCATGGTATCTTTGTATGCTGCTAATTGTACCGATGTTTGTGGAATTTGAGATCGTTTTAAACTATTTCGAACGCTCTTTGTAAAAATTTGAATGTTGGAGGTAAATTTTCGTTTTTTCATTTGCGATTTTGTGTTTACCTAATGAAATTTTTTCCATTCGGTATCGCGAGCAATGCAAAGCTCTGCTTCGCCTTTGTGTGCCAATATGCGCGTAAAAAATTCAGGTTTTAAACCTGAAAGCTTGAAGAGAAGTTGCTTCATTGTTAACAAAATTTCTTTTTTTCCATGTTATTTCAAATGATTGTTTTTCAACTAGAATACTTAATGAAAAGTTCAATTTTTCTTTTTTGTTTTTTAAACTAATAGGACTAAGTTCTTGAAAGAATAAAACTCTTCTAAGGTCAATGAATATTTTACCGAAAATTCAGCCAATTTCGAAAGTTTTTAAAAGCTACATTTTGTCATTTTCTTAGTGCTTGCCCATTGCAGCTTTGCCTTTTTAGTCAATCTGCATATTAACCCTCGTTAATTAGGAAACACTGACAAAAAACTCTTGTTTTTATTGGCACATATTTTAGCAAGGTAGAGAGATAGAGTTCAACCTTGGTATCAGTTAAATGTAAACTTTTAGGGATCTTAACTCATTGAAAAGTATGCTCATTTTTCATTATAGGCACACTGGCAATGGAATAGTACTGCAAACAAGCATAACTAAACGCTGATTATCTTTTTCGCGCTCTTTTGCTATATCTTTTTTATAAAATGGAAAATTTTTAAGAAAGGCAATCTGCATGATACAATTATGAAATGGAATACAAAAGTAATTTGGTCTGATCACCAAACAGCTTAGACTTTCTATAGAGACCAAGAGACTTAGACCTTCTGTAGAAAACCTTCTATAGCTTTAACATTTTTGAACCATAAGGTTTTCATTATGATTGACATTTTTGATCCATCTTGCATCAAAAACAGTTCGATGTGAATAAAAAATCTGCTAATTTAGTACGTAGTAAGGTTTTATAAATCGCTCGTGGGGGGGGGGGGGGGGGGGGGTTAGGGTTGGGGTGGACAAAAAACGGGTAAGAGCAGAGAGTAAACTTTTAAAATTTATGGAATTGAGCAGGTGCGGATCTAGGAATTTCTCGAGGGGGCGGATTTTAGAAATTTTGTCGACCTTTTTTTTTAGGTCGGACCAAATAGATTTTCTGAGCTCTCCTAAATCACTATAGAGACTGTATTTTGATCAAATTGTCTGCGCCGCAGGCAAATTTTTGAAAAAAAGGCCAAAAAAGGAAAAGTTCTTCTGGCGACTTTAGAAAAATTTCAAAGTCAGTCAACCAAAAATGGATATCTCAGGGTCGGCAGGGGGTTGAATCGCTGAAGAAAGGACGTCCGCCCCCCCCCCCCCGTAAATCCGCTACTGGAATTGAGCCATAGTTTTATAGAATTTCAGTAGCACCAGACGAATATTTAGAAAAGCTACCTGTGG